TCTTATTTGTATAAGACTCTTGATATTTACTTCAGTTGAACTTTAATTGTTCTTTAAAAGTAGTGGGTAATAATTGCTTGGAGGAATCTCTGAAGGCTGAGAGAGGAGGGGTTTATATAATCTCCTCTCTAAACCTAACTGTAGTGATATTTGTTATGATCACTACATTGGTTCAGGGTTAGTTATTGACATGTAGTAATGATTGTTACTAGTAATGCTTAATTACATATACATCTTATGTGTGGTATGTAATATAAGCATTTGACTCTTGACACTGAGTTATGAGGTGTAAATGGTGTTTTGTTACATATTACATGTTGTTTTACAAGTTCATGTATATGTAATAAAGGTTTTGATACATTGTATTACATGTTACATACAGTCTATGCTCAGTATGTAACATGTAATTAATCTTATACATATGTTTTTTACTGTTACAGGTTAGTTTTGGGTACATGTATATGTACTCAGGGCTGACAAAAAGCATGCCTTCAAGCATCTCATGACCTATCTCAAGCCCCTATTGGAACCTTCAGAGCACATAACAATCAATGAGCAAGTAATGATATTTTGATTCATCACTGGTCATTCAGTAGAAATGAGACACACCGCCGAAAGATTCCAACACTCAACAGAAACAGTCCATCATTACTTTTATATTGTTCAAAATGCTCTTGAAGCACTCGTCAATTCTATAATTATTCAACCAGGACTTGATGCTTCTATCCCGGACAAGATAGTGGACAATTCAAAACTCTACCCATGGTTCCAAAATTGCATTGGAGCTCTTGACAGCACTCACATTGAAGCTCAAGTCAAATTTGCAGCCAGATCTAAACATTGCAATTGACATCATACATTATCACAAAACGTATTAGCAGCTTGTTCATTTGACGTGAAGTTTCTCTTTGTTTATGCTGGAATAGGTGGGAGGGCACACGACTCCTATGTGCTCACCAGAGCACGTGAGAATGGTGCTTTCATTGTACCTGAAGGTGAGTATTTTGATTGATACCTTTGAATTCAATAATCTGATTAAATTTGATTTCTAGGAAGATACTATTTAGGGGATTCTGGCTATGCTCATCGCCCAGATGTTTTCATCCCATACTCTGGAAATCGTTATCATCTTCAAGAATGGCACATTGGAAACCGTGCTCCACGTACTCCTCAAGAACTTTACAATTTACAACATGCCATGGCACGAAATGTCATTGAGCGCATCTTTGGTGTGATGAAGATGAGATCTCAAGTGATGAAATACATACCTAGATATTATCTGGAAGTTCAATACTCACTTGTGGTAGCATGTTGTGTTCTACACAATATCATACGGGATGCCGGACCTGAAGACTCTTTCTATGATCAGTTTGATTGCTTACAGCGGGAGCAAGAGAATACTCAAGATTTAGCATGGGCACAAGCAAGAGCAAATGATGAATATGAAGAGCCTGATATTGGAATTCAAAATGAGGCACATGCTGCTCGGAATGCTATGGCACAGGCAATGTTTGATGATTATATGGCTCATCCTAGAAGACAGTGGAGATGAAACATAGTTTGATTTGTATTAAAATAGACTCCATAATATTTTAAATACAAATTTATATCTCAATGATTCACAAAGTGCCTTTTTCATTTTGGTCAAGATGAAATATACTTTATGTTTATTATACTAGGGCACAAAATGATCTAGATACAAATTGATAAAGTTATTTGCTGATGATTTCTTTCTTGAGCCAATCCCATCTCATATCCTCAGGTAGTTGATTGAAGAAGAAGGCTTTTTCCTCAACATTCAAAATAATAGCTGCTTTCATTTTTTCATCTTGATCTGACATATTGACTTTTACTTCTGATCAAAAGGTCTCCATTGCCTTGACCTGATCTGGATACCTCTCCACCTTTGCCCAAAGGCAACTTTGATTAAAACAAAGGCGCTCTAGTGTGTTGGCCTCTGATTTGGCCTTTCTTTTGTTTCACAATTTCTCTAATTGAATGTCTTGGTCACAATTCATCTTATCAATTTTAGCTTGACGTTCTTCCTGAGTCCTAATTGCTTCCTTACAATCAGATTCCTTAGCAGCCAGCTTTTCCTTGCTGACTGTAGCAAGGATCAATAATGCATCAGTGCTGCTAGGGTGGTCAACCTTCTTTCAATGTTGGTGAGGCTTTGGTGAACAAGCAGACAATCGTTTGGCATTGGTTGGCTTAGGTGGTGGAGATGGCAAGGTTGGAGGAGCAAGGGATGAAATCAAAGCTTCTGGAGTGGTTGTTGTATCAATCAAAGGCTCTGCGAGGTGAGCTATGGAAACAAATAAAAAAAGAGATCAGAGTGATTATAAAAAGAAAATACAGAATGATTGTAGAGGTACTTACCTCCAGTCCCTTCCGATAGATTCAATGGAGGTAGATCACTGTTGTTACTGTGATCTACCTTGTTGACTTCCTCATATAATGCCATTTCTTCTGCAGTGAGCTTGTTTTTTTTGGTATCTTCTTAGCGACTCAACTGCCTCAAACCATTGTATCATCCGCATTTTGGCCATCCTCAAGCTGGCTCATGATCTTGAAATTAGGAAACCCTTTAGATCTAAAGGGTTTATACTTGGCATTGGCCTATTATACAAACTTCATCAGCACAGATAGAAGATATGATTTTTAATATGCAACTTACATCAATTTTTATTTTCCCTTTTATGAAAGACATTGCTAAAAAAACATAACAATCAGCTGGATTGATCAGAGGAACAATCAAGGTATGGGAAACTCACCGATTGATAATGATTTTTTAATGCTAGTGTTGGGTACTTTTCATGATATTGCTTGTTGAAATCATTGGTAACTGTTTTCCAGGCCTCTTTTTTGAATGTGTTCTTGACTCAAAGTCCAGTGGCGGTTTGTTCCAAGATACCTTGTAAGATGCACTTGCTACGACCCTCTCCAAAGTGCGCTTGAGGCTTGGTGTCTTTAGACATCACGATGTTGAAAGGCATGATCCAACACAAGCTTGGTCAATGACAAGTTCAAGGGTTGAGATTTGAATCCTAGAGACAAAAGAAGACGTAAAAATATGGCATCAGAAAAGACAATCTTGAAAGAGGGTGATGTGTGAGTTCATTGAAGGCAGAGAAAGATGCGCACTTAGCAAAATTCCAAGTCGATTGTCGATTTGTAATGTATTATTGGACTTGAAAGCTGCTCAAAAGTAGCTTTCAAGATACCAGATTATTGATCAAAAAAAATGGTTTATTGTTAGTGAAATGGTTTTTGAAAAAAGGGGCAAAAGCCACAACAAACAAGAATTTTCAAAAAAGTGTAAAATGCATTATTTTCAAAAAACAATGCATTTTGCCCGGTTTTTGAAAGTTATACCAAACAGGGCCTTAGTCTTGGCTATAGTACAGAAATAGTATTTTTTATCTGTGATTTTTTTCAAACATCAATAACTCAGGCAATTTATATCATGAAGGTTAATGAACTATATATGCTTGGTGGGGAAATACAAGATTGGTTTTGTACAGATTTATGATGCTGTATGACATCATCTCACCTTTGGTGGTATGAAATACTTTGTTGGTAACTGACCCATAACATCTTGATAGCAGACATATGTTATTTTCAAAACAGATTAAAATTATCTTGAAAACATTTTGAAGACATGGGACATATTGGCCTGCCAGTGACCAGTAGTTGGGGGCTGTGGATGTCTCCCATCTAGAGAAGAAAGACATCCTTTTACAAACCAACAAAGTTACCTTAAAGTAAACTCTATGACACACACTAAAAGCAGCAATCACTTGTAATTTAGATGATATCTGTTCTTCAATGTCATCTTTCTTATCTGAATTTTAACATTTAGTACTATTATTGTTTATCTAATTCTCAAGCAGCTTGTTATTGAAATAAGACTCAGTGATCTTAGTTTTAGATTAACTTCCTTTTATTTTCCAAGATGGTTTAAAGGACCTTTTTTAAAAACATCTCTTTGTCAATATGTAGAAAATATACTGTTACTTTGAATTGTAAACCTGAGACAGGAGTACTCTTGTACCTACCTCAGAAGACTCTGATCAGAACAGACCATTCAGCAAGTATCAGGCAGTGGTATCCATTCCGCACCTAAGACAACATGCAGTCATCAGCTCCTGTTATAGAAATGCTTGAATTTACCTCAGTAAACTCACTGTAACAATGCCAATAAGGGAGCTTTGAGTGCCTGAAAGCCACCTGCTTTAAGTCTCAGGCTGACAACTGTGGTTGATTTGAAATTCAGGTTGACAATACAGGCTGCAGTCAGCTCTCAAATCTCATGCGGACTATGTTTCCCTCTTATGGGAAACTTTTGCCCAGCTTTCCTTTTGAGAATTCTGAAGAGATGAATATCTTGAGAAGAAGAGGGTGCTTCTCCTTGACCACGTTTTCAAAAAATGGGAATTGGGAATTGGATGGGATTTCCTTTCCTAAATCTCATCACCCTCTGTGCCAAAATCCCCTCCTTTTGCATAAGTCCCTTGTGCCTCAGGTATTGCTTGCTATGTCAAGCCTCTGTACAAGGGACTTAGGTAAGCCCAAACCCTAACTTTATACATAATATCACATGAACAAATGACATTAATTATGGTATTCAAACTTTGAAATTAATTTGTGCAAGTTTGGTGCAAGTTCTGTGCAAGATGTGAATAGAACTTGCACGGATCTTGCACAATAGTTGCAAGAGTTGGTCTTGCACAGTTTTTGCACAGTTTGGAACACAATAACTTGGGTTGTCAAAAAAATTAATGTGCAAGATTAGTGCAAAAAATCTTGCACGGAGCTTGCATGGATCTTGCACAGTTCTTGCACAGTTCTTGCACAGGTTTGAACACCCTAAATCTTGACTTGAAGTTCACACCTCATTTTAGATAATTCCATAATTCTAATACATAGACTTGACCCAGGTTTGATGACTGAACTACTATGTGGATTCACACTTCAAATTTTCCAAAAGGTTGTGTTCAAATGAGATGTCCAACATAAGCTGAGTTCTCTTGACCAGATAAGATGATGATACAGAGTGATATATACAAGATACACAAGACCTTCAAAAATTTTAAACTAATCCACATTCCAATATACCTCATCTGTTATCTTTTTCTATAGCCAATTAATGATATCCAAAATATATAGAAATTACACTCAATAAGTGTCCTCAAAAACCTCTTTTCGTTTCCTTCAACCAATTCATTGTTAATGTCCAATTATTTTTTGGTTCAACCAATTAAAGACAGAATTAAAAAAAACTTAATTCATCTTGATTAATTCATCCTTAACTAATTTTTTTGATCTGTCTAATTGGTTTTTAAATTCTTTTAAAACTTGAATCCATTCTTGATTTCCTATTTGTTTAAATTCAATTAAATCAGGACAAATCGACTGTAAAAGTTTAATTGATTCAATTGCTTCTCCTAAACAAAAAAAACCACACCCAAAAAAATTAGATCAGCATAAAGAAAAGAGGAGATTTAGGGTGGGTTTGATCAAGTAGATATTGATCAGAATGCATATCTTAGGAAATGTAAAATGTAACACATAAAGCATAACTTTTTATATTTATATAGAATTTGATTTCTGCTCAGGATTCTACTTGAGCAAATACGCTCTTGGTGATTGAGAATTCTGTGGGATGATTGAAGACTTACCCTCTGAAAGTGAAATTCTTGAACTTTTGGTGATTACTTTTGATAATTCTTCAAGTGACATGATCAAACTTTTTGATGGATCAGATGAAGAAAATACCCTTTACAAACACGAAAGAAAATGTCAATGTTTGGGTTATAAGCAAGAGAAGAGCTTGATGAAATTGCTTTCTTCTTTGAATTTCAACTTACATAAAGATACTTTCAATTAACTCTGGTAAACGAGATAACATACTTTTTTTCCTTAATTCGTCAGTTCTATTGGTTGGAGTTTTTGATCCAATTCCTCCATCAAGGTTCTTTGATGAAGCTGCTTTATTCTTTGCAGCTGCTTCTTTAGCTTTGATCTGTCGATTCAAAAACACCAATATCAATCAATTTTCATAAACTTTCTGAACGCGACCATAAAGATGAGAAACTTAACTCGTTCTATAAGATTCAACTGACGAGTTTCAGTAGAAACAATGACCGCAGGAGTTTTAACTTTTTTGGATTCCCTTTCCTCATCCATATGATCAACACTTACACAAACCCGTTTTTTAGACTTGATTATAGGATCAATAAATGAAGGTAAAGAAGCACAAGGAATTGGAGGAATCAACCATTGCTGTTGATCTTGATCAATTGGTTTTGAATTCGATTTCTTAGATCTCCATAACTTTTTTAACCTTTTTGAAACTTCTTTTTTTCTTTCTTCTACTTGACTTGTCCATAATGAAATTAATTTCATATTATTTTTTAGCTTATGGTTTGGTGAAGTTTGAATTTGTGTCGATAAGTTTAAAGTTTTTTTTGGTGATTTTGGGTTTGAAGATTTGGATTTGGATTTCGATCGGTTTGGTGATACTAAACTTAAGGTGGGTAATTGTAAATTTTCTTTGACTTGTAATTCTATTCCCAATCCAAATGATCGATTTGATTCTAATCTAGAAATAATAAATCCCATTCCTACTTGAATTTCTTCCTCTTCTTCCTCTGCTGTTGCTTCTTTTTTGGTTGTTTCTTCTTTTTGCCAAATCCAAAGTAATTGAGATAATTCTTTTTCGGTAAAACTTTTTCCTGACCCTCTTTCTACCATAGGTCTTAAAGTTGACCAAGATATCAAATTTAATAATCTAAAGGTTTGAATCTCCTTTTCTGCTTCTGGTTCAGGTGTACGCATTCGATTATCCGAGGTCAGTTTGGTTGAGGGTTTATGAACAGTAGTCAGTGTTGCATGACTTCCTTCTGTTGCAAGATGTAACAACAATGCGCGTTCAAGAGCAGTATGTAATGTTAATAAGTTAATGTAAGTTGAAGGAAGTTGATCTGGATCTACATCTTCAACTGTGTCTGATACTTTTGTTTTGGAAACTATCGGGGTTTTAGACTTAGGACTTCCACGAGTTGAACCAGGTGAATCTCGAGCATAAAGCAGTTGTTCAAACTTGGCTGAAGTTGATTGACGTGGTGTTGTCTGGAAAGGGTTAGGAGGTTGAACTTCAAGATCCGATGATGAATCTGAAAACTCGTCTTCTTGTACCATACGTCTTGCAGGAGAAAGTTCTGTCTTCATCTCAGTATTTGGATGTTTGGTTTTGGTAGGTGAGTTCATAGTTTGAGTGACGTGAAATGCTAGTTGATCGGATTGTGGAAGTTTAGAACGGGGCGAGATCACTGCTTGAAAAGGTGATGATAATTGATGATGAGGTGTGGATTCAATGTGAGATTGATGATTGAAGTTAGGTTTGATAGGTGAATGTGATTGATAGTTGATATGATCTGTGATTTGACGAGAGAGCAAGCTTCGAGCTTTCGGTGAAGAAGGGGCCAAGGGTTGAAGTTCTTCGTTCTGAGGAGTAATAAGATTGACGGGGTTGATAGAGTGATTATGAAGTGAATGAGATTCACTTGGAGGTGTGAGACTTGAACGTCGACGATGTGGTGAGTTATGTTGATGGTTATGAGTCGGTCGAACAGGTGAAGATGATGAAGTAGGAAAGATATTATTAGGATTAGTTGAAGATTGAGTTGGTAATTTGATTTTATTAGAAGGTAACCTATTCAGATGACTTGGTGGTGTAGTAAACGATGCTGATGATAATGTTAAATTGGTTCGATGTTGTTTTTGTCCACCGTGACCGACTCCTTTACTAGAACTTGCGGTAGGGCTAGTTTGTTGGTTCGTAGCAGTAGTAGTAGTAGTCTTGGCCATCAGATCGCTTACCGTTGGGAAATCACGCTTCAAGGCTGCTTGTCCCATCATTCTAGCTCGAGCTGTCCTGCGTACCTCGGCTACCAAGAGAGTACCAGTCGGAACCTGGCCAGGTTGAGTAGGTAACTCGGGTGAGAGTAAAAGAGATGAAGGAAGTCTATTCAAGACCATCTTCTTTTGCTTGTTTTTTAAGTCTGATGAGGTATTGAGACAACAAGGCAGTCTGGAGCAAGGAGAAGAAGTTTCAAATATCTTTTGAGTACTTTGAAGCTGAGGATGCCATTCATGGTGATTGATGAGGATGACTCCTAGAATGGATAATAATTTAGAGCTTAAGACAAAAAACACAAATCAACTCATCATCTACAGACCATGTATGTACACTTGACATATCTTACACCTTCAAGAATACAAACTTCCATATGCAGGATCTGGATCATCAAAAGTTGAATTTGAGGCCCCTCTCCATGTGAATAATCTTTCACCAAGAATGTTAATCTTTCTACCCAGGGTGGCTACATATGTAGTCATTTATAAGCTATGATTGCCTTAGAATCCTTTCCCAAACAAACAAATCATACTTTGGAGGAATCCTCTCCATATATGTTCTTGAAGTTTTGCTATAATTTTCTCATTCCAAGTTGAGAAAATATGTTTACCATCAGAAATGACTCAGCTGCTTGTGTCAATTTCTTGGGGAGTTTGTGATCTCCCCTAGCTACATACTTGGTTGACCAGAGAATCTGCCGGCATGCCCGCCATACACAGGGGCAAAAATAGATGCTCACATTGGGGTGAGCATTGAAATTTTCGTGTTTTTTTTTAACATTTGTTCAATTTTACTTCCATATTCTTTCCCTGGTCTTCCTGTTTTCTACCTGCTTATCACCTTACAAAATCAATAGGAACTGAGAAGATGAACTAGGCCTTCCTCAGGCTTCAATCCTTAGTAAAGAAGCCTGAGGGAGGGCTGGCCCATCTGCTCACTTTGTCTTGGCGCCTCAGCTGATCCTCAGTGGCATGCCTTGGAGCCTGCTGATCCAGGATTTTGGACCAGGTTCTGAGCTGTTCTGAGTATGCAGTGACTCATGAACTGATTCTGAGTATTCATCTGAGAAACTGGGCTCAAAGAATGCTCATCCAAAATGGAAATGAGCATTTGCCAGCAATCAATGTGGTGCAATTGCGGGATACAAAGTAGAATCCGGGCACGTGCCCGGCTTTGTGCCTGGAATTGAGGGAACCAGCGAGGCACGAGTTGGTTACTAAGCCCATGGGGACTTAGTGATTTGACTGATGAGTCGGGCCGGCCCCGGAGGTAAGAAGGTGGAAGAGTTCCCACACCTCGGAATCGAGATCTTCAAACTTACCTCTAAAACCGACTCTCAGATACTCAGCATTTTCAGCTCAAATCTCTAAGTTTAAAATAAACCAACGTTTAAAAGATTTTTTGTTTGTTTCAATCAGGAAATGGATAACTCATTATTATCAAGAATTGGTAGAGCTGAAGAGAGTATACAATGTGTTACAAGAGCGGCATCGGCAAGGCTAGAACAACAAGAAGGTCAAGAAGCCGGAAATATAGAGGGAAGAGAATTGACAGAAGGAAACGAGATAGAAAAGAATAGAAGTAGTGGTAATACAACTAGTGGAAGTGGAGGTTTGTCAAGTTTACTAGAGAAACAAAACTCAGAAGGAAGAAATCAAGAACAAGAGATAGAAGGAAGAAAAGAAGATTATCAAGAAAGAAGAGGTGAAGACATAGACGGAGCACTGATTATCAAGCTCATTAAAGATGACGGAACTATGGGGGAGGTTGAAGACGAAGATGATGATGAGTCATGGTGTCCTCCGATCTCAAAAGGGAAGAAGAAGCAAAACTCACCTTATGCATCCAAAGATGAAGAGGAATCAATTATGAATGGACCAGATCCAATAGGTGAGAATCAGTTACATCAATTCAAACGTTCAATATTCATACGACACTCCTAGAAGAGGGCAGTTTCTCTATAGCAATATAGAGATGGAGCTGTGGCCCATAGGGCGGCCTTTGAGGCAGGAAATTACAGTTTCTCAGAAGAGATGTTGCTGTAGGACAGTTTCTCGAAAAGAGATGTGGCTGTAGACAGTTTCTCGGGAAGAGATGTTGCTGTGGATGTTAGACAGTTTCTCGGAAAGAGATGTGGCTGTGAACAGTTTCTCGAGAAGAGATGTTGCTGTAGATTTTGAAGATCTTGGACGGTTTTCTCGGAAAGAGATGTGGCTGTAGATTGTGAAATCCAGGATGAGCAAACAAAAAGAGTTTAAGTACCTGAAGTTGAGAAGAAGAGACACTTACAAGTTTTTTGGTTGATTGATTCGTTCTAAAATAGACGAAGGCGATGAATTGATGGCACTTCAAGCCGAGATAAATTTCCTATACTCGACAGGAAAGTTTAATCAAGGTGCAGCTCTGTTAGCGAAAGAGATGGAGTTGACTAAAGTCGCCTCTAGCCGTCAACCTACACCTCTACAAGAGTCATCCCGCCAGGCGAGACTTAGAAGGACAGGCCGAGAAGAGACTCCACGAGACGAGATACATGAGAATCGTTTAGACGACCAACGACGCAATGTACCTAGATCGTCCCATCAACAAAATCAAGAGGGGTGCTACGAGATGAATCAACCGAAAGAAAGAAGTCCTCATCTTTTGATACAAGAGAATCTATCAGACGTCGATTCAGAATTGAGTAGAAGGGTTAGAGAGACCCAAAACATACCGAGAATGGCAATTCAAGCGGGACTAGAACAGGCGACAAAAGAGGTAGAACTGTCTGAAGCGGAAAAGGCGAAAAAGATGATGGACTCAGGAAAAGGAAGGATGGAGTTGGCTAATGGAGATGTTATCGAAAACGGTAGATTGATCTTGAAGAATACGTCGGATAAAATGGGGAAAGTGTTGACAGCCTTAGGACCAGTTCTGGATTATTATTTAAGAACATTCAAAGCTTTCATTCCTTTAACTGTTTTTAACAAACACTGGCTATTAGCAGATCAGTCAGCAAGAAGTGGGAAAGAAGCGCCCTCCAAAGCGAAGATATTAAAAGGAAATCAACGACTTTACACGACTGATCCCCCAATCGATGAACTGACTATCCAGTACGAGCAATGGTTGGATTGTATGTCCTTATTCATAAGATATGTTGCAGATGCAGGATGGGAGACGCAAGCAAAACGTTTTGAAGCACATAAGTCAATTGTGAGCGAATTAAGAGAGAGCATAGGATGGATGGTTGCACTTCGGTACTGTAGGAAGATACGACAAGGTGTAATGAGGACTACGGTGAATAATGAGATTTGCAACATCAGCGAACTTCAAACCCCGATCTTAGACGAAGTGAAACAAATTTGTGAGAATTTTGGGGAACGAGCTTACCAGACGAATCCATACGCGGTAGGAGGTCCGAGAGAAAACATGAACCCAGAAACGGGTTTGCCCAAGAAACAATCAACACCTTTCGCCTCAACATCAACAACAACGATCAATCCAGAGTTCAGTGGAAGTGATCCATTTAGGAAACCGAAGAGGAAGTGGATTCCTGCTGCAATTTGGAAGAACCAAAAACCGTTTGAAAGAGAACAGTATAAATACGATTATACGAATCAACGAGACTACCGAGGACAAGAGCGTTACGGGAAGAGCTATGGGAAGAGCTATGATTATCGTCAAGAGAGAGAGAAACGTCCTTGAAGCCGTAGTCGCAGCCGAGATAGAGGCGGAAATTTGAATAAAGGAGGTAGACCGGGAAAAGGTCGATATCAGTGAGTTTGTAAGACGAACACTATGTATGAGAATGAAATAAAAGAATCGAGTAATACTCGCCATGTCAGAATTGATCAGAAGACTGAGAGATCGCCTTTGTGAGTTGAGAGATGTGATCTGACCATGAATGATGGTTTGATTGCAGAATGAGCGTAGAGCTCCATGAGAAAACACGCGAGATAGATCAAGAAGTAGAGTTCGGAGGAGCCCGTGTTTGGAATGGACTGAAAGTGACTAACAGGAGGTGGCCAACATCAGTGAAATGCGAGATGAACTTAAAAATTTGGGAGGAAGAACTCAAAAAGATAGGGAAGTTACAGGAAAATGAGAAGATCCTAGAAGGATTTAGATTGGGATTCCATCAAGGGATTCCAGAAGTGTCGATCCAAGGGATGCAATATTTTTGTCCTGATAATCACTCGTCGTCGATCGCAGCAAAAGATGAGATTGAGGAAAATTTTGAGAAGGAGATATCCGCGAAGCAAATGTTCCGACCTTTTTCCAAAGACGAAGTATACGAGAAAGTTGGGTTTTTCCGGACAAATCCGATGGGGGCAGTGATAAACGGAGACGGATCACTGACACTGTGAAGATAATGTATTTTTCCAAGGCGAAAAATGATTGACATTAATGCACAAAATGATTAATAATGCAGAATTAATGCAGAACAATGCAGAATTAATGCAGAACAATGCAGAATTAATGCAGAATTAATGCATTTTTAATCATTTTGTGAAATAAATGTAATCATTTCTCACCTCGGAAAAATACATTATATTTGCAGTGTGAGAACAATAAACAATCTTTCATACCCAAGGAACGATTCCAAGATACAATCAGTGAATGCGACTGTAGACAAGGATGATTTCATCACAACTTGGGATGATTTCAAGAAAGTAGCTTACCTTTTTACGACGACAGAAGGGAGATTAATACTAGGCGTCTTCGATTGGGCGAAGGCCTATAGGCAAATACCGACAGCACCGAGTCAATGGCCGTTCTTGATGGTAAAAACCTTTGATGGGTTGATATTGTTAGACACAAGGATAACATTTGGTGGAGTAGCGGGGTGCGGTTCATTCGGACAGGTAGCAGCTGCATCGGGGGAGAGGGGAGTATTGAGCCTTGTTGAGT